TATAGGCTAACGAAAGAGTGTGTACTTGAGCTGTGTAATGAGATGAGACCGTTCATGACACAACCTACGAAATCCACAGATTTAAGTCTAGAAGTCAAGGTTTGTAGTATATTATAAACATATTTATATCATGGAACTAAATATGAAGTATTAAAAGGACTTAAATTAACAATATAAGGGAAGCTTGATATTCTAAATGTATTAATTCAGGTTTTGATCGCGTTGTCATTTTATGCGACTGGATCGTACCAAAGACCAACTGGGGACATAGCTGCACATTCTGTTGCCCAACAAACAGTTTCAGCTGTAATAGCACAAGTAACCAAGTGCCTTAATCTTCCACATTTCCGACAGAAATATATAAAATTTTCTAATAGTGATAATGAACGTAGAGCTACTATAGTTGGGTGAGTACAATTTACTTCTGTAGGTTTGTTTATATAATAGTCTAGTATGACTTATCAACAATTTTATTTCAGATTTTATAAAAAAAATCATATGCCTGGAGTATTAGGATGCATTGATGGGACACATGTTGCAATAAAACGGCCAGTGGAACACGAAGAACGTTTTTACTGTAGAAAACAGTATCATTCTTTGAATGTACAATTGGTATGTGCCTTGCCTTGATTAATATGCTTGACTGCACAGATGGTGTAGTGGTTTAAGCGGTCAGCTCACCGCGTCCTACTGTGCTGAGTGTAATGGGTTCGATTCCCGCATGGGACAACACTGTGTAATCCACAAATTTTTGTTTCGAACACAAATTCTTTGTGTCTGTTTCATGTATGTTTTTGAAGTCCCCAGTGATACAATGCGGGAGGTGTCTTTTTAAATAAAAAAAAAACAATAACAAAAGAAATATATAATCATTCAATTAATTGTGCATACAAATACACTAATCTATACAAATAAATAAAATTGGAGTGTCTGTTTGTAATATTAAAATAACCGCTTTTTACTAAATGCATATGTATGTTGACACGGTACATATGCCAAAATAACATTTTTTACAATTATTGTCTGTCTGTCTGTCTGTCTGTTTGTTCCGGGTAATCTCTGGAACGGCTGGACCGATTTTAATATAATCAGTGTACAAGTGATACTTCAATCAGCTTATTTCTCATCTTCAGCTTCATTCAGCTTAGTTTTCCTCTTTTATATTTATATTAGATTTCTTAGATTGTTGCAAGAAGTAATTTCTGAAACAAAAAAAATATTGCCTCTATAAGTTATCAAAAGACTGATTATTTTTAGGTATGCAACTCTGACATGGAAATAATTAGTGTGGATGCCAGCCATGGGGGAGCAACTCATGATGCCTTTATATGGGGTCACCATCCATTAAAAGCTATTATGGCACAGTTAAATAACACATGGTTTTTAGGTTTGTATTCTTTTTCATCACAAAATCTACCGTAAGCCAATGTAACTAATAACTGATATATTGATGCTAGTATTTATTAAGATTCATCAGAAAACTTTTTTTTTTAGGTGATTCTGGCTACCCTTTAAGAAAAAGAATGATGACTCCAGTTGTTGATGCTGCTCCTGATACACCAGAGGCTTACTACACTGAACAGCATGTGAAAACTCGCAATGTGATAGAACGGACTATTGGGCTTCTTAAAGCACGCTTTAGATGTCTTCTTGTGCATTAAGTTCTACATTATGAACCTATTGTAGCAGGATCTATTGTAAATGCTTGTGTCATCTTACACAATATTTGTAATAGAGCTAGTATCCCTGTGCAAGACATGACATCTGAAGAACTGTTACAAGAAGCACAATTACAACCTACCCACCATGTAGACAGCATTTCAGAGCAGTCTTCTTCTAGAGTTCATAATTTCGATTTGCAGGAAGGCATAGCTGCTCGAAGACAGCTCATTGCTCATTTGTGGGCATGCCGGTTAAACTGAAAAATATATTAAATTGCATTAGATTAAATAAAAAATGGAACAATTTCTTTTTATATCCCATTATATAAGTATATATAAAACACCAGTATTTATTAACTTCGTAACTGATAGCTAATTACCTTTGGTGTATCCTGTCTAATGTATCTGCTATACGACGGAGATAAATTTCCGAGTTGGCCGTATTGACTGTGGCCTCTGCTCGCATACGGCTTGACTCAGCAAGCGACCTTCTCGCTGCTTCCTGTGACATCGGCGTAGGCCTGCGCCGGTGTCTTCTCTGTACGGACGCTCTCCTCGGTTCAATTGGCTGAACAGGTTGGGTATCAGGCTGAGCGGGTTGGGTATCAGGCTGAGTGGGTTGGGTATCAGGCTGAGTGGGTTGGGTATCAGGCTGAGTGGGGGGTGGTTGATCCTGAATGGTGAATGGATGGATGGATGATGATGGGCCAGTGTTTGCATCTGAATCAATAGTTGCCATCGATGCAAAAACTGCAGTATCCCTAGTAGCTTCATTTGATGTTTCCTGCAAAACAAATTAGCTATTATTTCAATGTTTTTAGCTTTTGTGAATTACTGTTTAAGTTTCTGTAAATTTAAACTATGATTTTACCATTGTGATCAGTAGATTGTCTTGTAAACTATAAGAATTAGATCTATTATTTAGAGGGCAACAGCCCTATAGGTACAGTAATAAAAGAACACTATTAAATAATTGAGAACTATAAACCTTTTTTTATTTAAAACATATTACTTACATGAGTAAGTTCTGTCTCCACTGATACTTGAATTCCTGGGAGACCTGAGCAGAGGTCTTCACCAAGAATTAACAGAAATTTTAATTCTATCTCTGTCAATTCCGGTACCGTGGAAGGTCCACCTCCAGTGCTTAGGTGAGATGCCCTAATACTGGCACACTTTCTTTTTATTCTGCCTTTGTAATCTACCCAATACTGAAATGAAGAGTTGATTGAAAAATTAACATATACATATTATTATAGTAATACGTAAATTCTATAGAAAATATAGCACCAACTCACATTAGACCAACTTTTCCAATCTTTGATAGCACCACCCACGATAGAGTTCAAATATTCAGATACTTCTGTCCACATTCGCCGACATGTTGCGCGAGCTTGAGCACTTTTATTAAAACCCACAGCAACATCTCTGTGAGTATTTAAGAACTCCCACATGACTTCTAGTTACTCATATGAAACTCTTCTGGACGTCATTGTTAACGATGAATACTTTTCAAAAAATATTTTTATTCAAGTAAGAATTTCAAATTCGCCTCGGAAACTTATTTCAAATTTTTTATGCTTTCAACATAACATATGTCGTTCAAAAATAGGTGACATCTTGGTAGCGTTTATTTTAAACATTATTTATTATTATTTATTTAAGTGGCTAAAGCTCCAAATGTCTCAAAAGATGTTATTTATGTTTGATTTTAACGAAAGAAACAAAGTTACTTCAAAGTACTTGATACTGACCTATGATTATTTAAATAATTAGATTCTAGGTTTATAAAACCGGAAAACCGATAACGATTATGAGAAGGATTTTAGAACGTTTGGTTTATGACATTAGTATAGGTGTGTTGTTGCCAAATCGACCAGAGATAATTATTCAGGTCAAAAATTGATATATTGCAGTTCAGCCGAAAAGGTTCATGGTACAATTAGAAAACCTGTCAGGTTATCTGTAAAGTTGAACTGCTCTGAATTTGGCAGTTTTTTGGAAAGTTCATGGTAGGCCCCCAGAAATGCCATATGTTATTGTAGGTGACAGTGCTTTCGCGCTAACGGAGAACATCATGAAACCATATCCTGGCATTCATGAACGTGGGAACAAGAAGCGTATATTCAATTACAGACTATCAAGAGCTAGGAGGATTAGCTAGGACCTATTCCGTTAAAACCAGCCAATTGTGAACTCGTGGTAATTGCTTGTGTATATTTACATAACTTCTTAAGACGTAACACAGTTTCCAGATCTATATATACACCTCCACAAACTTTTGATTTTGAAGACTCTGAAGGTAACCTATTAGAAGGTTCATGGCGAAGGAAACTAGGTTTGTTTCCTATGAGTGATTTGCAAAGACGGGGCAGGCCTGCATCACAATCAGCTTTTTGTATTAGAGAACAGTTTGCCGATTACTTTATAACTCCAGAAGGAAGTGTTCCATGGCAAAATAATGCAGAGTACTTAATTGTAATGATTTTCCAGACAATAGTACAATAACAATTATATACAAAAACAACTTACTGTTTTATTCATAGAAGTAGTTGCACCAAATAATAAAAATTCCAATGGCTCGTAATAAATAATTTTTCTATTGCGGCGCTGCCTGTAGTTTCCGACAACTTTTTTTCCTCTCTAGTAAATTGAGTACGCAGTACATGTATTTTAGTTTCCACGTCTTTTTTGGGTATATTTAGGACTTGAGGACTTGATCTTTGTATTCTTTTATAGAAGAATCCCATAATAATGGTTTTGATTGAAATAATTCTATCAATTGCATTACTTTATCATTGCTCCACACTACTGCCATGTTTATAAACTGTTGCAAACACGTTCACACACGTCAACAATTGTCGCTAAACTGATGTTTCCTTTCTAAGGAGAGGCCTATGTCCAGCAGTGGACTAGTATAGGCTGTTGATGATTGATGATGATGATGATGTTTACGCTTGTCGGGCGAGAGCTTGTCAACATGACGCTATCAACTCTGCAACATGTTTATAAACTGGCCAGCAACATGTTGACAGCAACTCCGCAACACGTTGATTCAACTTTGTTGCTAAACAGATGTTTACCATGAATACGGGGCTTTAGACTAAAGTTGATGTTGTCAAAAACTTCAAAAATTGACGTATCAAAATATGAACTTCATTTACACATTTTTATGATTTATGTGTATTATAGTAATAAAGTACTTGATGAGGTCATCTAAGCACCCTGTGATGAAAGTAGTAAAATATGGCAGTTAATGTTTGATTAAAAAATCAAATAGGTAGAATATATTATTAAGTGACAAATTAACTAAAAATAGTAGACGCAGTGAAAATTATAATGAAGATAGCCAGCTACGTGTTTTTCGATATAGAAACGACAGGTCTGCCGTACCAAGAGCGCAACCAAACCAAAATTACAGAACTCAGTTTCGTCGCCGCTTCGCGTAATGATTTGGAAAAAGCTTCCATTGGCAAAAAGCCCTACTTTAGCAAACTGATACTTTTGTTTAACCCACAAAGAAGGATACATCCAGACTCATCTGCTATTACAGGATTAACTAACGAAATGCTGAAAAATGCCCCAATTTTCAGAGATATGGCAGAGACAATAATTTCATTCTTAAGTGAGTTGCCTAAACCAGTATGCTTGATAGCGCACAATGGCAATACATTTGATTATAAAATACTGTTAGCTGAATTCAGAGATATTAATATGTCACTACCTACGGATTTGTTATGTGCCGACTCTTTGATTGGATTCAGAAGATTACACAAAGAGAAATACCCAAAGGTATCTTCTAACTCAACTTTTGAAGATTCAAAAGGCAGTGATAATTGGCAAGATTTCAATGTAAGTTCAGAAGATTGGAATGAAATAGACATACTATGCTCATCTCTGTTAGACATGGATCCTTTTGTTTCACCACAAAGAAGTGGAAACAACACCCCATCACCTAAGAAAAAGGAAAATGTGCAAGAAAAACTTAGTTTTAAATTGACCGATTTGTATGAAAGGTTACTAAATAAGAAAGTTGCTATTGCTCATAGAGCTGAAGATGACTGCATGATGCTTTTAGAATGTGTTGTTGCTGCAAAAGAGTTTTTAATCTGGACTGATAAACATTGTAAAAGTATTCATGATATTAAGCCTTTGGTGCGCTATGGATGAAGTAGGTGTTCATAATGTATGATTAAGTATACTTTATTTTTGTACCTTAAGGGCTTGAAAAGTACACATTTTTGATATTTTACTCTACATTTGTAATTTTATTGCTTATGTTGATTTACTTTATTTAATTAAATAAACAATTTTTAATTATGTTTCCATAGAGATCTTATACGAATCTGACATATTTTTTTATCATGTAGTTGTAAGAAACTATATTTTTAAATAAACATTCAAACGAGTAATAAAATGAATAAATGAATAAGTCATACAATAATTTGTTTTTCTGATCATCCCTTTTTCCTCCTCAGTCAGAGGTAATACATTTAATTAAATGACTTTAATTTTGTTGGTGATGTACATTGTTAAGGCTTCTTCTTTGGTCAAAGAAAACATAGGTGGACTGTATAATAATATGAAATGAAACAGTACAATATTGGTTAAACTGGGTTCCCTCTATCTGGCAGAATCTTGATGCTCCGAAATTTATTTCGCATAACACACTTGGCAGAAACTTCTTTAAACGAATATATTAAAGGCATAAAAATATTGAGTGAAATTAATGTACACCAGGGACTTCCTTTCTAGGGTATACCTGGTTCCCCGGCTATTAGTACCCGAGACGGCGTGCGGTTTTAGTCGGTTCGAGTCCGACATGCCACCGATAGGTGGTATCCGAGGGGATTTCCGCACGGAAAAAAAAAAGTGTAATTAATGTTCGGCCGAATGTTTATATTTCCGAATTTACAATGGCATACTTTTAAGATGGCTTAATTTTATTTAGCATAATAACCTTTGGCAGAGTTAAACTTCCGCATAATAATTTAGTTTAACATAACGTTTATTTAGAGCGACGATTATTTGTTACAATTTCACGTGGCATACTATAAAGATGGCAGAATTTAACTTTGAATATTTTTTTTAGGCATATTGCCATAAAATAGCATTTTTAATCTTAAATTAAAATATTATCTTAAAAAGTCATGTCTTGCTACGAAAGTTTGTGACAGAAAAGAATCGCCGCAAAACCGACTCCACGTAGTCTTGTCTGCCCTACCCCTAGAGTGTAATTTAAGGCCGCGGAGGGGCGAGGCAGCTCGCGAGCTGAGGAGGAGGTGGTTCGGTTCGGCAGCTTCGGCTTGCTGGCCGGCTTCGCCGGCCCACCTCAGCCGCGGCGGCGAGCGTTGCAGTCATCTACGACGATAAGCTCGCGTGGTACCGCCACAGCTCCGCAGCGCCGGAGCCGTGACAGATGTGCTGCATGTTGCATTCTTGCTTGCATGCTGCATGCTTGCCGGCAGTCCTGCTTGTATGCTGCGTGCTTGCCTGCATGAATGACGTATGCTTGTTTGCATGCTTCTTATAGGGAAATAAAATCTATATCTAAATCCATATCCGTCGCGAAAAAATGTGTGTTCAATCAATCAATTTTAATTTTATGGTAAGATTAATAATGGATAGATAGTCTTTCAATTGTTGTAGATATTATACCTATATATGCCAAAAGATGATTCTCACTGTAAACTTTGAGATATGATAGTTCTGCCTTTTGATGACTATCGAGATGAAATTTATGCTCAAAGACGATTCTGACTATGAACTTTCGGCGGTATGATGGTTCTACTTTTTAATTATTATGGATATGAAGTTTGTGCCTTAAGATGATTATGACTTACAGAATTATGAGTTTTGAATGTATGATGAATGAGTGTCTGCCAAACGATTTTCTGCGAAATATAGTTTATGCTATCCGTTGTTATGCAAAATAATATTATGACATAAAAAGTTCTGCTTTAAAGGGGGGACCCGGTTAAACTTAATGCGCGCGCGTTGCTCGTTGTTCGGTCGTGACAGCCCGCGCGCCGTTGCGCACACACACACCGCGCCCTCCGCGCGCCTCCCTGCTAGGGACACGATTCATGCGCTGGGTGCGTGAACAGCATCCTTGGATCAAAATCATTATCTAACTGGGATGCCAGTGGGATCAGTTAATCCTGTTGAATCTAAGAAATTACGTTTCATATTACATTGGAAACTGCAAAATTTTAATTTCTAAAAAGATGTTATAACTTAGAAATTTCTTTCTTTCTCTTTTAGTAAGGTGTACGCTCTTTTACTGAAGGTTTGAAGGTCGTATCGGTCCGTAAATACCGCAGACGATAACTTGTTCCACAGGTCGGTTGTGCAAGGCAAAAAGTGTCTTGGAAAGCCCACAGTGGTGGAGTACCAATTATCCAAGTGGTGGGGATGAAAATTTTGCCTTGTAGAACGATGGCGGAAAGTGGCGGCCGTTATTAGTCCGAACAATTCCTCTGAGCACTCTCCATGATGTATACGATAGAGAATGCAGAGTGAAGCTACATCTCTACGAAACGCCAAGGGATCGAACCGGTCGGAGATCTTTTGGCTATCGACAATTCGGGTTGCTCTTCTTTGGATACGGTCCAGAGGGAGAAGCCGGTACTGAAGTGTCCCTGCATAGAGATGAGAGCATAGAAATGAGGCAGTTATGGAGGTGCTCTCAAACTGAGGTGACACGACAAATGGTATCTAAGAAGATGACTTGAAATCCGTAAATGCTGGTGTCCCGCAAGGCTGTGTGCTATCACTCACACTGTTTCTTCTGCATATCAATGACATGTTGCAAACTAATATCATTCATTGCTATGCAGATGATAGTACGGGAGATACCCTTTACACAGGCCGTCCCAATATCGGGAACCCGTCATCGAGAGTCGAAACAAACTTATGTCTGAAACTGAAACTTCCTTAGCGGAGGTTTCAGATTGGAGCGGACTAAATATGGTCCAGTTCAACCCAAAAAAAGACACAGGTCGGTGCGGACCTGTGCCGGTTTCAGGAAGACGGAAGGAAGTTTCAGACAATGGATGCTATTAGTTTGCAACATGTCATTGATATGCAGAAGAAACAGTGTGCGTGATAGCACACAGCCTTGCGGGACACCAGCATTTCCGGATTTCAAGTCAGAGCAACCGCCCGCACCGTGCGGATGCACCACTGCGGCAGTCAATAGAATAAAATGAAGTTAAATCTCTTATCTGCTATCTTAAGAATACGCTGTGGTTTGAAGTTGGTATGCTGCAACAAATATGAAATTTCCATAAACGTTTTAAAACAAATCGATAGGTACCAAAGAATCGCATTAATCTAGAACCGACGATGACGGTGCTGTCAAAAACGATTAGTATCAGTATATTAAGTTTCAACAAAGGAAACTAGTTCTTATTAATTTGCTTATGGTTTTCTTTATTTTTGTCGATTTGTTGGTTATTAATAAATAAATATATTACTCAATGTTTACTCAATATTTATTAATAAAATAAAACAATGTTTTTATATTTGTACATATTACTTTTTAAATATATATTTTACTATTTATTAAAGTGGATAAGCTTCATATAAAATACGTTTCACAGAATTCTTAGGATCTGTCTTCCGGGATAAATAAAGTAATCTTATGTCTATGTATTTTTCTATGACACTCTTAGCTAAATCAATGACATGATTACAACTTTCGTGTCAGAATTGGTGATATTTTATTTCAGGGAAAATATCCTCATTAATGAAACTGCTTAATGTTTGTGTTACAAAACGGAATTTGCCTTTGTAATATATTTTAGATCCTTGATTTGAATCAACTGAGCTTTGAATGACTTGTTCAGATCGTCTGCAAATTTTAGTGACCATAGTGGACGGGAAAAGCAGTCCTCCTGCATCTCTTGCATAAATCAAACAGATTTTTTTCTCATCCAGGGATATTAATGCTTTTAATCTTCTTTATTAAATAATGTACAACAGCGCCAGCGAGATATTCTATGACGCTTTGTGAAAACTGAAATAACGTTATATGCTGTAAGGAATCAATAAAAGTTTCATCAACGCGTTCCTCAGTCTCGCGAGTTTCACCCCTTTCAGTCGTCATATTTATGCGTTTTATATCTGAAGAACAGTTTAATATGGCAATATGTTCTAAAGCTATACTATTACCAGTATTAAGTTCTTGCAACTCCATATATACAAGCATTTTTCTATAAATGCCATAAAACAGTTTTGGTGTTACAGAAAAACAGTTCAATGTGGTCTTGGCTGATACGGCGAAACGATACATAAGGAAAGCGTTGGTTCTTTATTAAATCATTAAATAAAAAAAATTGCACTTTCAACACATACAAAGTCCTAAAAATCCAGTATATCGTGGCGTATCAATTAATCGCGTCTGCTTATTTTTTAAATTAGTTGTCAAATTCATTATGTCACGTGATAAGAAGCGAATTTACTTACCGATGAAATGTTATGTCATCTTTTCGATAACTGGATGTCTTAACTGACTTGTCACACCTTTTCACTGCACATTAAGCCATTTTTATATATTTGGGATAGTACTTTTAAATTGTCAAAAAATCGGACGTTCCTACGCGCACACACGTTACAAATTTGGTCGTCACTGAACGTGATTCTTAGCGTCACTTAATTTAATAGCTATAAGTAATAAGTATGTGTTGAGCGTCTTTGTGGCCCTGTATGCGGAATCTATTAGGGGGTAATCTGTGGAGTAGGGTCTCTTTTCGTTAGTGGTTTTCTGGTTGTTTTAGATGTCGAATCTGGTAGAGAGTTCATTTAACTATAGGCAACACTGCTTAAGAGTGTTATCAGACGGTTTATTTTTCGTTATCAAAGTGCTCTGTGATAAGAGTAGTGAAATATGCCACATGCCAGTTTAAAGTTTAAGCACAGAGTACAGTATAATATTATTAGAAGTTTGTTTTAAACTTTTTATTTATTTTATTTTATTATAAAGTAACAAATTAACTAAAATTAGTAGAAGCAGTGAAAAATTATAATGAAGATAGCCAGCTACGTGTTTTTCGATATAGAAACGACAGGTCTGCCGTACCAAGAGCGCAACCAAACCAAAATTACAGAACTCAGTTTCGTCGCCGCTTCGCGTAATGATTTGAAAAAAGCACCCATTGGGAAAAAGCCCTACGTTAGCAAACTGATACTTTTGTTTAACCCACAAAGAAGGATACATCCAGACTCATCTGCTATTACAGGATTAACTAACGAAATGCTGAAAAATGCACCAATTTTCGGCGATAAGGCAGGGACAATAATTTCATTCTTAAGTGAGTTGCCTAAACCAGTATGCTTGATAGCGCACAATGGCAATACATTTGATTATAAAATACTGTTAGCTGAATTCAGAGATATTAATATGTCACTACCTACGGATTTGTTATGTGCCGACTCTTTGATTGGATTCAGAAGATTACATAAATAGAAATACCCAAAGGTATCTTCTAACTCAACTTTTGATGATTGGCCAGATTTCAGTTTAGAAAATTGGATTAAAAACGACTTCTCATTTCCGTCCGATGTGGATCCATTTGTTTCACCACAAATAAGTGTAAACACCTTATCACCTAAGAAGCGCTGTGTAAAAAAGGAAACTGTGAAAGTAAAACTTAGTTTTAAATTGACTGATTTGTATAAAAGGTTACTACATAAGAAAGTTGCTATTGCTCATAGAGCTGAAGATGACTGCATGATGCTTTTAGAATGTGTTGTTGCTGAAAAAGAGTTTTTAATCTGGACTGATAAACATTGTAAAAGTATTCATGATATTAAGCCTTTGGTGCGCTATGGATGAAGTAGGTGTTCATAATGTATGATTAAGTATACTTTATTGTTGTACTTTGGCTTGAAAAGTACACATTTTTGATTTTTTATTGCTTATGTTGATTTACTTTTGTTAATGCTAAATAAACAATTTTTGAATTATATTTCCATAGAGATCTAATATAAATCTGACATATTTTTTTATTGTGTAGTTGTAAGAAAATTTATTTTTAAATAAACATGCAAAAGAGTAATAAAATGAATAAGTGAAGTCACACAATAATTTGTTTTTCTGATCACTCCTTTCCTACAGTCAGAGGTGCAACACTTTTATGTAAACTAATTTTTTAATTTCATTGGTGATGTGCATGCTTGGATTACAATCATTAACGGGGATGCCAGAAGGGTCACTTAATGAATTACCTGTTTAATCTAAGTAATCGTGTGCAATACACACAAAGAGCCATAGAGTCATGGCACCACCCCTATACATCCCATGGGTGTAGTAAGATCTGACTAAGGGAGCAAACTACGTAGAACAACAGCACTGCAGAAGGAAGGAAAACTACACACAAACCCTATACCAACCCGTCTGGCCAGCGTGGTATAGTAGGCCAAAACCTCCATTCTAAGGAGAGGCAATGGACTAGTAAAGGCATATGTGTTGTATGTGCATATGTATTCATATGTGTGTTCGTATGTGTATGTGCGGATACATGTATGTGCATATTATGTACTATGTTATGTATGTATATGTTATGTATATTCCTGCTTAGGCTTATAAATCTCTTAAATTTAAGTCGACAGTTCTCCTTAGAGTACCTTTATTCTAGCCTGCCATCAAATCTCTGATCCTAAGATGATCATTATGGTAGGGTTAGCACACACACTAACACACACGCACACACACAGATACGTTTCATTAGTTATTCATCATATTCGTTTATTAGTTTTATTTTACATCTCCCATGTCCACACTTCCACCTGGTTACTCTTTTTTTTTTGTTTATGGCAAACTGTGCCGATTTCGACAATTCTGCCCATTGATATAATACTTACATAGATGAGTAATTACCGCCTAAAATCGTTGCTACTGCACACATTGAGTTAAAACAACACTAGAGAAGCAAACCTCATTATCACACGTCGAAAAAAGTGTAACCACTTTTGAACTTTGACGACGTAGCTTTGATACCACGAAACATTTGAAAGTAAACATATTTATGTCTCATTTACACGCGAGACAAGAACAATACCATCGCTCGGATTAGACAAAGACAAAGACATAACTTTACGATGGTGGGCCAGTGTTGACTACCGTATGAAATTTTACCCATAACAACCAAGAAACAATTTTTTTTTAAAACAATTTGTTTTAAAATAAATTAATTTAAATATTTTAAATAATATATTTCGAATTGAATTAAATAGGTATAAATAATAAAATAACTAGAAATATTTGGTTAAAAGGGTTTATATTCAGTGTAAAATCAAACTCCGCTATGAAGCATCAGTTTTGTATACAATTGTCTTTTAGACTCTTTTTTATAAGTCTGTGTGAATATTTTACTTTCATGATACAATCTTATTTTTACCTATGTATAAATAATGGCATTTAATAGTAAAAGTGAATGATCAACTTGTACTGATAATAAATAATCCCCAGGGTGTATTGCAAATTCTTTTAATATTTTAAAATACAAATAAAAAAAATAATATAAAAAATATATCTATATATTTTTTTGTTTTTTAATTTTTTTTATTTATATTTATTTACTTTTTTATTTTATATATATATATATTTTTGTACAATTGTTATTTGTCTTTGATAATTAATTAAGAAAAATGAATGAATGAATGAATTACTTATTTTATACAAAAGTCTCCAGCACTGCGAGCTTGGCAGAAGGTGAACGTTCAACGGGTCCCTAAAAAAAGTGATCGATTCAGCCCTAACAACTACCGTTCTTCCTATATTTTATTATTATTGACAAAATGTTTAAAAACAGTATAAAGCATATTATTTCATAAATTATAAATTCTCCCACTAATGTGGGAAAACAAAAATGATTTTTTAATGGTAACACTGATTCTAAATTACAATTATTAATGTTTTATTTCAATTATAGCCTTATTTACGATATTATCAATACAAAAACCATAAACTTACACGTGATAAGTAATTCCGCATGATTTATTAATGTTTTGTGACCTTGAATCGCATTCTTTCACTACGCATTTACCCATTTTGGCGATTGTTACTGTCATGTGTCGCTATGTTCAACTCGGTTGACGCCACATTGAACACTGAATTGACGTTTGCTACGCATATGCCTGTGGACAGATGTGCAGTAGCAACGATTTTAGGCGGTAATTACTCATCTATGTAAGTATTATATCAATGACTGCACATCTGTCCACAGACATGTGCGTAGCAAACGTCAATTCAGTGTTCAATGTAGGGATGTGAGATTAATGGAAAAGAATCGATTAAATAAAAATCGATTTTTCTATATTAAAAATTAATCGATTTGCCAAAAATCGATTTTAATAAAAATAAATAATCGATTTTTTTGTATTATTTAAAAGTATATGCTTTCCACATTCCAATAATAAACCTAAGAGATTCATATTAACTATTTATCAGATTAAAAATAAAATAAAATTATATGAATAAAAAAATAACCTATTCGAAAAATTTCAAAGTAGGGAATTAGGAAACTAAATAGCATTATTGATACTCATTTTAGTACTATGAAACGTTTTATTTATTATAATAAAAATGAAATGATGAGAATTTTTTATTTGACTAGTTTTAAAATAAAACACTTAAAATGAGAATTAAAAAACTAAACGACTACTCTTCATCAACAGTCTTTTGATAGTCCACTGCTGGACGTAGGCCTCTCCTTAGAAAGGAGGTTTTGGCTTTGGTCTACAGTCTCAAAAACTAAACTAAATTACAAATCATTCGTTAATCTTTAAGTTTAAATAATAATTATTGTCACAAATGTCCATGCAGTCCTATTTTACATTTGACTAGTATTAAAATAAAACACTTAAAAGGATCATTATCAATCCTGAACAACTACGTTATGGTCTCTAAAACTAAAATAAAAAACAATCTTTCGTTAATCTGCAAGTTTAAACAATAATAAAATTAAAAATAATTATTTCCACAAATGTGCAGTCCTATTTTACATTTGACTGGGATTAAACAATAATAAAATTTAAAATAAGTAGGTAAGTAAGCGGTTTAAAAACAATAATTTTGATAGTCTCTTTCCTAAAATACGGTTTCGTGTTTTCCTGACCACATTTCCCGCTTTGGAAAATAATCTTTCGGACGGAGCAGAGATTTTTGATCCAACGCATAGATGGCGCTGTTTTTAAAATTGAAACATACTGCAAGATTTTTTCATTCGTCGCATAGATGCGAGCTGTTTCTGAAAATCGATTTAAACACGTAATTTATATAATCGATTTACTAAAAATCGATTATCATTACTACAAAAATCGAGAATAAAAAATGGATTATAAGAAAATAATAATCGATTTCAATAAAAATCGATTATTTTTTAACATCCCTAGTTCAATGTGGCGTCAACCGAGTTGAACATAGCGACACATGACAGTAACAATCGCCAAAATGGGTAAATGCGTAGTGAAACAATGCGATTCAAGGTCACAAAACCATAATAAATCATGCGGAATTACTTATCACGTGTTAGTTTATGGTTTTTGTATTGATGATATCGTAAATAAGGCTATAATTGAAATAAAACATTGATAATTGTAATTTAGAATCAGTGTTACCATTAAAAAAACATTTTTGCTTTACCACATTAGTGGGAGAATTTATAATTTATGAAATAATATGCTTTGTACTGTTTTTAAACATTTTGTCAATAATAATAAAATATAGGAAGAACGGTAGTTGTTAGGGCTGGATCGATCACTTTTTTTAGGGACCCGTTGAACGTTCACCTTCTGCCAAGCTCGCAGTGCTGGAGACTTTTGTATAAAAGAATTAATTAATTCATTCATTCATTTTTCTTAATTAATTATCCAATATAAATAATAATTGTACAAAAAATATATATATATATATAATAAAAAAGTAAATAAATATAAATAAAAAAATATCAAAAACAAAAAAAATATATATATATATTTGTTATATTTTTTTTTATTTGTATTTTAAAATATTAAAAGAATTTGCAATACACCCTGGGGATTATTTATTATCAGTACAAGTTGATCATTCACTTTTACTATTAAATGCCATTATTTATACATAGGTAAAAATAAGATTGTATCATGAAAGTAAAATATTCACACAAACTTATAAAAAAGAGTCTAAAAGACAATTGTATACAAAACTGATGCTTCATAGCGGAGTTTGATTTTACACTGAATATAAACCCTTTTAACCAAATATTTCTAGTTATTTTATTATTTATACCTATTCCATTCAATTCGAAATGTATTATTTAAAATTAATTTATTTTATTACAAAATTGTTTTAAAAAAAATTGTTTCTTGGTTGTTATGGGTAAAATTTCATACGGTAGTCAACACTGGCCCACCATCGTGAAGATATGTCTTTGTCTTTGTCTAATCCGGGCGATGGTATTGTTCTTGTCTCGCGTGTAAATGAGACATAAATATGTTTACTTTCAAATGTTTCGTGGTATCAAAGCTACGTCGTCAAAGTTCAAAAGTGGTTACACTTTTTTCGACGTGTGATAATGAGGTTTGCTTCTCTAGTGTTGTTTTAACTCAATGTAGTGTGTGATGAAGGTGCGTGTGTTTGTAGAGCCGTAGAGGGACAAAACATAACCTCTGAAGGACATCACTGCACTGAACGAGATCTGTTTGTTGTTAATTATAGAATTTAAAGAAGAACAGACTAAAGTTTGATGGTATTACAACGTATAAAGATCATAAGCGTTCGGAAGAGTTCTGGAGATGAATAGGTTAAGAGAGAAGAGAAATTAATAGGCGTGGGAATCTTCAAGTTTCTTAAGT